TTGTCCAGACTATGGTCAATAGACTAGTTGAAAAACTATTCAATAGATAAGTCAAGGGACTTGTCAATTGGTTAGTCTAGAAACTAGGCAATAGACTAGTTTAGAGACTAGTCTACAGACTAGCCAATAGACTAGTATAGAGGCTGGTTAATAGACTAATCTATATACTAGATAATAGACAAGTCCAGAGACTAGTCAATAGTATAGTTCAGAAACTAATCTAGAGACTAGACAATAGACTAGTATAAAGACTAGACAATAAACTAGTCTAATGACTAGGCAATAGAGTAGTCTAAAAACTAGACAATAGACTAGTCTATAGACCAGACACTAGTCTAGAGTCTAGACAATAGCCTAGTCCAAAGACTTGTCAATAGAGTAGTCTAGAGACAAGACAATAGTCTAGAGACTAGATGATAGTCTAGTTTAGTCAATAGACTAGCCCAGAGACTAGTTCAGAAACTATTTAATAGATTAGTTTGGGGACTAGTCAATAGTCTAGTCTATAGACTACTCTAGAGACCAGTAAGGAGACAATAGACTACTCCAGAGTCTAGCTAGTCAAAATACTAATCTAGAGACTTGTCAATAGATTAGCCTAGAGACTTGTCCAGACTATGGTCAATAGACTTGTCGAGAGACTAATCATTAGACTAGTCAATAGACTAGTTCAAAAACTATTCAATAGATAAGTCTAGGGACTTGTCAATAGGCTAGTCTAGAAACTAGCAATAGACTAGTCTAGAGACTAGTTAATAGACTAATCTATATACTATATAATAGACAAGTCCAGATACTAGTCAATGGTGTAGTTCAGAAACTAATCTAGAGACTAAACAATAGACTAGTCTAAAAACTAGACAATAGACTAGTCTAAAGACTAGACAATAGACTAGTCTAAAAACTAGACAATAGACTAGTCTAAAAACTAGACAATAGACTAGTCTAAAGACTAGACAATAGACTAGTCTAAAAACTAGACAATAGACTAGTCTAAAGACTAGACAATAGACTAGTCTAAAAACTAGACAATAGACTAGTCTAAAAACTAGACAATAGTCTAGAGTCTAGACAATAGACTTGTCAATAGATTATTCCAGAGACAAGTCAATAGTCTAGAGACTAAATGATAGTCTAGTTTAGTCAATAGAATAGTCCAGGAAGTCGTTAATAGACTAGTCTAGACACTAGTCAATAAATTAGTCCATAGAATAGCTAACAGATCAGTCCATAAATCAGTCAATACACCAGCCCAAGCAAATGCCTGATACACCTCAGATTTCTTCCTATTTTACCTCTAACTAGTGTTAGTAACATAAGCAAATAAAATTACTTAATACTAACACACAAAACGTAGTAATTGAATTCTATGTAAATTTAACAAATATTTATACAATTTTCCGCATTACATTTATTAATATCCCACGACCTAAAGATTTTGTACATTGTACAACAAAGTTGCCCAAAAGATTTTGTTTTAATGTTGTTGTAGATGTTAGCATATTAACAGTAGCATTACAATAATATATACATGCATATATTTTAGTTCGTTTTTAATTGTGAAATTTTAGTCAAGCTTTAAATAAATTCACAAACTAATGTTAATTTCAACTAAAACAAAAAAAAAAAACACAAACCTATAAAAAAATTTTTTTATTTGTTTTATCACATAATTAAAATGTGTGAATTTTCAAAATTCCATAAGAACAACTAACAGAAACATGGTAGAAACAACAACAAAAAAATCAAAATGCAAATATTTGTTATAATAAAAAACAACAACTATCAAGTCTTTGTGGTATTTGTTTTAAAACTATGACGTTTCAGTTGTTGCTTACTAATAGTTTTTTTCTTGTTTGCTTAATAAATTGAACTAATAATTTCATAAAACTAAACAAAACAATTAACTTCAAGAAACAAAAACAAACAAAAAAAATCAATATTAATGAAGAATATGATCATTTAATAATGTTATTTATATATAACAATAATAATGTTATTGTAAAGCCTCTTCAATAATAATAATAATAATGATTATTATAAAGTGATAATGATGATAATGTTTGTTGTTTTTTTAGTTTTTTTTCTGCTGTTGAGTGTATGTAAACATACAGTTAACAACTCACATTAACATGTCATTTAACAGTTGCTGCTGCTGTCTGTTGGCGTTGTTGTTTTTAATATTTTTTTGTTTTATTAATAATAATATTATTATTATTTGTATGCATTTGTTTATTAATCATTAATTTGTTAAGAGAGGGAAGTTGTCAGAGACTTGAGTCAAATTAAAAAAAATCTATAAAAACGTTTGAACTTTGTTGTGAAACTACTATATACAATGTTTATCTAAAATCTTATAAATAATTTCTTAACTGCCTTAAAGTATACCAAGTTTATTAAACATTTAATTACAGCTAAAATTCTTGGAATATTCTCGAATAAAAGTCTATAGACTAGCAAATTAACTGTCCTTTAACTAATCCATATATTAGTCCACAGACTAGTCAATAGTTCAGAGACTAGTCCACAGATTAATTTACAGTTAATTCTTGGAATTTTCCCGAATGAAATAGACTGTCCATAAAATAGTCCATAGATTGGTCCACAGACTAGTCAGTTCAGAGACTAGTCCATATATTAGTCCACAGACTAGTCAATAGTTCAGTGACTAGTCCATAGATTAATTTACAGGTTATTCTTGGAATATTCCCGAATGAAATAGACTGTCCTAAGACTATTCCATAGATTAGTTCATAGACTACTTAACAGACAAGTCATTAGAGAAGAGGTTCTATATGTAGTTTATATATTAGTCAATAGATTAGTTCATAGATTAGTCAATAGACTCAATAGGTCCACAGACTAGACTATAAACTAGCGTCTAGTCCATAGACTAAACAATAGACTAGCCACTTGACCAGTCACTAGACTAATTTATAGACCACTCCATAGTCTAGTTCATATACTAGTCCATATACTATAGACTAGTCAATAGACTTCCCCATAGTCTAGTTCATAGAATAGTCTAAAGACTAATTTATAGACTAGTCAATAGATTAGTTTATAGTTTATAGATTACTCCAACAACTAGTTCATATACTAGTCCATAGACTACCCAATAGGCTAGCTTATAGACTTCTCCATAGTCTAATACATAGACTAGCCAATAGACTTGTTTATACAGTACTTCATAGTCTAGGTCATACATAAGTCCATGGATCAGTCAATAGACTGGTTTATAGACTTCTTCATAGTCTAGTTCATAGATTAGTCTAAAGACTAGTTCATGAACTGGACAAAAGACTAGCCAATATACTACTCAATAGATTAGTTTATATACTACTCTATAAACTTTTTCATTTACTAGTCTATAAACTATTCAATAGACTAGTTTATAGACTTCTCCATAGCCTAATTCATAGACTAGTCTAAAGACTAGTTCATGCACAAGTCCAAAGACTAGCCAATGGACTAGTCAATAGTTTAGTTTATAGATTACTCCATAGTCTAGTTCATAGACTAGCCAATAGACTAGTTTATACACTACTCCATAGTCTAAGTCATACACTAGTCCATGAATTAGTCAATAGACTAGTCTATAGATTACTCTAATTCATAAACTAGTCCATATACTAGCCAATAGATTAGTTTATAGATTTCTCCATAGTCTAGTTTATAGACTTCTTCATGGACTAGTTCATGGATTAGTCAAAAGATTAGTTTATGGACTGCTCCCTAATCTAGGTCTTAGAATAGTCCATAGACTAGCCAATAGACTTGTTTATAGACTACTCCAAAATCTAGTTAATTGACTAGTCCATAGACTAGTTTATAGACCACTCCATAGACTACTTAGTTCATAAACTTATTTATGGACTACTCTATGGTGTAGTTCATAGACTAGCCAATAGACTAGTTTATAGACTACTCTATACACCAGGTCATATTCTTGTCCCTAGACTAGTCTTTAGACTAGTCAATAGCCTAATTCATAGACTAATCTATTTGAAAACTTTTTTCGTGGGAAAAATTTTCAAGCTTTAAAATTTTCTCACTCATTTGTCATTTAGCAATAAATGTCGGTATTTATAGATAACGATACGTTTACTCAACTTTTTGAGAAAAAAAATCCGATTTCAGCTTATTAAGTTTTAATATTTTAAAACGCCTGACCATAAACGATATAATGAAAAAGAAAGCCAGCTAAAGCTGACTAACAAATTTATTAAAAAAATCACTAAGATAAGAGTTAATTATCAACTGGTTTAAATATGTTTAAGGCAATCAAAATTGAATTCAGTGCATTTTAATGGCACACATAAATTTAAGCTTAATTAACTCACAATTTAATAATTAAAAACAAATTCCCACTGCCCGACTGGTTGCAGGTGTCCAAACGTAAATCATGTCTTAAATTATTTAAACATTAAAAAAACGAGTCTACTAGCGGGATATTCCCGGACATCCAGATGATTTTAACGATTATTTGTTTAATATTTCATTATTATTATTATTTTAAGCTTACTGTGTCAAAGTCAAGTTTATATTAGATTTTTTTTTTTTTTTTTTTTGTTTAAAAATAACAAATTGTGTGAGTTTTTTTCTGAATTGTATGAGAAAAGTGTTTTATTATTTATTTTATTTGTGTGTTTTACCCACAAAGTTACCATTTTTGGCGAGAGTGATGAATAATTTTTTTTTTTATAAAATAGAGAAAAAATTTCAAAAAACACTTATACGCGACAAATTATTTGTTTTTTGTAAAAAAATGAAATGTTTTATGAACGAATAAAACTGTTGAGGCGTCTACATTTTAAACTCCCACGTTTTAGTTAAGAATTTATTTTAATACGATGATTAGTGGGCCAAACCAAGTGCTAATGTATATGAGTTGGTTTTTAACACAAACTGACGTAATTATTCATATATAAAATTAATATATTTATTGAGGTGATTAAGTAAATTAATAAAGAAAAAACAAATTGTAAAAATAAACTTACCAGAAACGGAAGATGTGTAAAAAACAAAACGTAGTTCAAATGCAGGGTAGTTAAACAATTAAGCTGTAAAGAAAAATATAATATTATTTATAAATAAATTGCAAAATAATTGTTTAAACAAATTTTAAAAAATTTCCAAATTTTTATATAATTTCCCTTATTTTTAAACAAATTCAAAAGTTTATAGTTAATTTAAAGTTTTAATTTGTACCAATTTTGTCATAAAAACTTTAAAACAAAAGACTTAAGACACAAACCTACAATGTCACCAAAACAAAACAAAAGACTTAAGACACATACCCAAAGTTAAAAGCTAGTAGGGAGTCTCTATTGCAACAGATTTCCCAAAGGGAAATGAATTTGAATTAAAACAAAGCATTTTCTTTTCAATTTAAATTAAATAACAAGACCCTGAAAACGAAAAATTACAAAAACTAATAAAAAATTTTAAAAGAAAATTAAACAATGAATTCAATTTAATTACCCAAAAAACAAACAATAGCCACTATAAAAACACCTAAACCAAATCGCCCTTTCCCCTATCATCAAACCTAAATTTTCAAATAAATTACCCACTATCAATAAATAAATTAATCATTATTAATCAATGACAACAAATCTCAAAAACTTTCAATTTCTTTAATCAAAACGAAACAGATCTTTAGCATGCAATTTTTAGCCCAAACAAAAAATGTTACTTGTTGCTGTTCCAAACCCATCATAAACGTTTTAATTTATACATTTTAATCAGTAGCACAGAACTTTGGTTAATTAGAGTTTTTTTTTTTCGTGTAATTTTTTGAGGTGTCTATATATAATTGAACTTTGGCTTTGTGGTTTAACCATGATTTTTTTATGTTTGTGTTTCTATAAGTTTCCATTGAATCTCCATAATCTTGGTGTTTTATAGGAAAATTAAAAATTTGAAGGTAAATTGTTTATTTATTGTTTATTCTAGCTGTTGTTTTGTTTTGTTTAGTTGTGTCTTTGTCTTTTATTTATTTTAGCAATTTTTGGTGTGTATGTAAATGTGTCTTTGTGTAAGCATGTTAACAAATTGCTTACAATTCATAATAAAGTAATGAAACGGAAAAGTTTTACCAAAAAACTTTATAGACTAGACTATAGACTAGACTATAGACTAGACTATAGACTAGACTATAAGACTACTAGACTAGACTATAGACTAGACTATAGACTAGGACTATAGACTAGACTATAGACTATACTAAGAACTAGACTAAGACTAGACTATAGACTAGACTATAGACTAGACTATAGACTAGACTATAGACTAGACTAAGACTAGACTATAGACTAAGACTATAGCTAGACTATGACTAGACTACAGACTAGACTATAGACTAGACTATAGACTAGACTATAGACTAGACTATAGACTAGACTATAGACTAGACTATAGACTAGACTATAGACTAGACTATAGACTAGACTATAGACTAGACTATAGACTAGACTACAGACTAGACTATAGACTAGACTATAGACTAGACTACAGACTAGACTATAGACTAGACTATAGACTAGACTATAGACTAGACTATAGACTAGACTATAGACTAGACTATAGACTAGACTATAGACTAGACTATAGACTAGACTATAGACTAGACTATAGACTAGACTATAGACTAGACTATAGACTAGACTATAGACTAGACTATAGACTAGACTATAGACTAGACTATAGACTAGACTATAGACTAGACTATAGACTAGACTATAGACTAGACTATAGACTAGACTATAGACTAGACTATAGACTAGACTATAGACTAGACTTTAGACTAGACTATAGACTAGACTATAGACTAGACTATAGACTAGACTATAGACTAGACTATAGACTAGACTATAGACTAGACTATAGACTAGACTATAGACTAGACTATAGACTAGACTATAGACTAGACTATAGACTAGACTATAGACTAGACTATAGACTAGACTATAGACTAGACTATAGACTAGACTATAGACTAGACTATAGACTAGACTATAGACTAGACTATAGACTAGACTATAGACTAGACTATAGACTAGACTATAGACTAGACTATAGACTAGACTATAGACTAGACTATAGACTAGACTATAGACTAGACTATAGACTACTACTATAGACTAGACTATAGACTAGACTATAGACTAGACTATAGACTAGACTATAGACTAGACTATAGACTAGACTATAGACTAGACTATAGACTAGACTATAGACTAGACTATAGACTAGACTATAGACTAGACTATAGACTAGACTATAGACTAGACTATAGACTAGACTATAGACTAGACTATAGACTAGACTATAGACTAGACTATAGACTAGACTATAGACTAGACTATAGACTAGACTATAGACTAGACTATAGACTAGACTATAGACTAGACTATAGACTAGACTATAGACTAGACTATAGACTAGACTATAGACTAGACTATAGACTAGACTATAGACTAGACTATAGACTAGACTATAGACTAGACTATAGACTAGACTATAGACTATATAGACTAGACTATAGACTAGACTATAGACTAGACTATAGACTAGACTATAGACTAGACTATAGACTAGACTATAGACTAGACTATAGACTAGACTATAGACTAGACTATAGACTAGACTATAGACTAGACTATAGACTAGACTATAGACTAGACTATAGACTAGACTATAGACTAGACTATAGACTAGACTATAGACTAGACTATAGACTAGACTATAGACTAGACTATAGACTAGACTATAGACTAGACTATAGACTAGACTATAGACTAGACTATAGACTAGACTATAGACTATCTAGACTATAGACTAGACTATAGACTAGACTATAGACTAGACTATAGACTAGACTATAGACTAGACTATAGACTAGACTATAGACTAGACTATAGACTAGACTATAGACTAGACTATAGACTAGACTATAGACTAGACTATAGACTAGACTATAGACTAGACTATAGACTAGACTATAGACAAGACTATAGACTATAGACTAGACTATAGACAAGACTATAGACTAGACTATAGACTAGACTATAGACTAGACTATAGACTAGACTATAGACTAGACTATAGACTAGACTATAGACTAGACTAGAAAATTAAAAAAAAAAAATTCAAACAAAAAATTTTCTTTCGTAACTATTTAGACAAAATTTCGCGTATTTTTAAAATTCTAAGATGATGCTTTTTTTTTCCTCAACAGCTAATTTTTTCAATTTGTTGTTCTTTTTGTTTGTGTTTTTTATTTGATTCAATGTTCAATGTTGCTGTTAAAAGTGATGTTTTTTTTATGATACAGTGACATATGCCAAAGTTAAAGTCATTTAAACATTTATCGCTGCCAAAATGGCTAAACATTAGTGGTATCTATAAGATATGCATAAACATAAATCTATAGAGGTATTCTGTAGCAAAAAAAAAAAATTCTAGATGGGTGTTGCTCATTTAATAAATTATTGTGCAGTTTTTTTTTTCTTGGTGTATTCTAAGCAATTGGTGGCAATATGTTGTTTATTCTAAGACAGAGAGGTCAATATTAAGCTTAAACTCTAGCATTTTTATGGCAATTTTTTTTTTTCTTTTTGGTTGGTAAAGCATAAAGTAGAAGGTGTTATAAACGAGTCTTTAAGAATTAACAACTAAACGTGCTCAAATAACTAATGACAGTTCATTTATTAGTGTGAATAACTTAAACATTTATAATAATAATATTTTTTTTTCGTTTTTGTGTGTGAATATAAGAATATAATTTGTTATTTGTGTGACGTCTGTATTGGGTTCTATAACTGTCTGTATGTCTGTCAATTTATAAGTTGAACTGACCATTCATCTATATGTCTGTCTCTCTGTTTATATGTGCAATGATTTAAATTTAACCTTTTTAACCTGTTTTTTTAATTAACTTACAAGTGGTTAATGTTAATGTTAAATATATTTTAAATGAAAAAAACAACCAACAAATTATTAAGTGGTTATTAATTGTTACACAAACAAAACCGCAATTAAATTTTAAATTTTAATAAAAATTGTTTAAAATTATTGACCAAAAATAATTATCTTATAAAATGTCAACTTTTGCCTTTACATTTTTATTATAAATGTGTTTTTTTTTTTTTTTTTTTAATTTTTTGGTTGTTGTCATTAAATTAAGTTTAATCAGTTTGAAATGCTTAAAATTTTGAAAAGATTGATGATGTTTATATTAATTTTTATAATCATAAGTCATCAATAATTACGTTATCTTATGGCTGCTGTGAGTGCTGCTTCATAGTAATATTTTGCCAAAAAATTTAAAATTTAAATTTTGTTGGAATTTGTGTGTTTATGTTTATTTGTTTAATTAAAATTTTTTGGTTAATTGCAACATCTTTTAATGAATTGCAGTTTATAATGTGTGCGCATTTTAGTCAAACTAATGTAATTTTTTTTATTTTTGTAATTTCTAGAATTGTGCCCCTGAAGAAAATGTATGTTGTACTTATAATCCCCCCACACCAGCCCCAACACCAGCTCCCACTACACCAAAACCTTTTATTACTTGTTCTGCCAATATGGCCTGTGTAGCAGCCCGTGATTGTCGCAATGGTGAAATCCTTAGCAATGCTGTTGTTAATTTAGAGGTAAGTTGTTGTTGTTTTTTTATTATTAAAATAAAATAAAAAAAAATTATGCAAAAATTTACTAAATTCATACACTTTATGCACATATGTTTGTAAATTATTGTGTAAATTAATCATCATAATATGTATGTAATCAATATTTTACACACATACATATGTACCTATGTCTGTCTGTCCGTCTCTATAAATATTAAATTTGTTTATTCAGATTCTCACACAACCAGCCAATAATGTTGTAAGCATTGTTGAAATTTGTTGTACTTGTTGTTAATTCTTAAGTTACATAAACAATAACAACAAGTAGCTGCTGCAGCAATAATAACAACAACAACAATAGCATCAACAAAAAAAATAGTGTCACATAACAAAAATCAATATTGTTATTGTATACTTTGCTCTCTCATACATAA